CAGTAACATCTTCATGCACATAGGACCAATTGTACACAGAAGAGCAGAACACTCGCTAGCAACTCGGTTCCTTACAATTAAGCGAGTGAATGAGCGAGCGAGAGAGAGAGAGAGAGAGAGAGAGAGAATGCAATTTGTAGTAATTATTATAAATATGCTACAATTTTCTACTATCAGTATTATTTTAAATCTTAACAAAATTAAAATAAAATTATCATTTTTATTATTTGACTAACAGTTCTTTCTTTTGTATTAATTAAATATTATTTGGACAATATTAAATTTTAATTTTTAAAAAATCGTTATATCTTCGTTATTTATTTTTTGTACTTATAGTATACATCTTATCTGACAATAAAGTATAATTTTCTGAATCCGGGAAATAAAGTTACCGTAACGTACAATTTTAGAATGAAATACAAGCGAAAGAATAAAAAAATCCTGGTACACAATTAGTGTCAAAAATGTCAAATTGTAACTAAATATTGAAAATATAAAAGAGCAATATTCTGCAAAACAAAACAAGAGCTGAAGCGATAAAATAAAGCAAAAAGACATAGAATGCGATTGAAATCCAATCAAATTTTCTGTGTATAAAGAAATTTATGCATATCATCGAATGCATCGATATTTTTGTATCAAACATTTCGTATCATTCAATTTCATGATAGCTCATAAAAGATACGTTACGTTTGATACAATTATGTATAAACCAGAAAAAAATATATGATAAAATGAGATGCAAACAAAATGAATAATATAATATGTCTATGGAAATAAAGATATAGTTCAAAATGTGTGATATTTATATGTAAGCGTACATCAAAGATTAACGAAATAGATCGCGTGGGACGAGTTTACAAAGGTATCTTCTCAATGTGCCGATTTTCATAAATAATTCCTAAATATTCGAGATACATCATTACGCCCGTTAAATTATATATTCATAAAGATACACTTTATGCGCTCATAAAGTTAAAATTATGTAAATTAGGGATTGCGATAAGATATCCTTGGATTAACGGAGATCTTGCGTCGGTAATTAAATTATAATCATAAATTCGAAGCAGATAGCATGTACAGATTATATAAAAGCGAATGTATGCCGTATCCTTCAAGCGAGACTAGAGAGACGCTAGATTAAAACGCATAAAATTCACCCTCAACGTCCCGTCGCTCGCGTGGGTGCCTTTTAAACAGGTTCTAGAAATTGCAAATGTTATGCAAATATTTTTTAGTGTATTTAAAATTATTTCTTCGTAAATATTCGATTTTCGATATTCCAAGTTAAATATTCTTTAAGTAATAGCTTATATATAATTCTCTTGTAATATGCAAAGCAAAGTAAGACAGAGAAGCCAATAACGAGCAACTTTAAGGTGTTCTATAATTATTCAATAATTTATTGATAAAACAATTCTAATAACACCTTATCAAATTACTGAACGTTTCAACTGCACAGAATCTTCTTCAGTAGTCCGAGTTTAACGTAGATTACACACGTACAAAGATAGAGATTACACATGATAAGTACGTCCGAAACCGACGAAATGCAATAGAAAATCACGATAATACAGTATATAAATAAGAGATAACAATCAAAAACCATCAAAATCGAAAGAATATCCGACGCGGACATCATACAAAAATAAATAAATAAGTTATCGAAGTAAAAAAATAAATTATCCAAATGTAAAAACACATCGAGCCGTGCAAACGTTAATAAACCGACGTATAAGTGAAGGCACTTATAGCATTAAAATAAATATCCTTTAATCAAGATTTTGCAGGGTGTATTTACACCTTCAAATTTTCTCGAAATTGTCAGAATGTTTTTTACTCTTATAATTCCTCAGTACTGAAGCATAGCTACTTACTTATGACGTAGAAATACAGTGCCCATGAGAGACTTCGTATATCTACGCATTGCACGGCTCGATGGAGGGCGCAAACTCGTGTTTGCACTGTGTATTCAAAGTTTACTTCGCAACTAGAGAATTTGATTCAAAGTCGCGCGGGTGGAAAGAATGTACACTCACTGCTCTGGTTACGTTACGAATTTACTATCCGCATTATCTTTGCTCCAGCGAACGTTGAAAACGGCGTCTCAATGTCGCACGTACGCGCGACGTCATTAGATATGTATGTACGTCCGCGAATGTAAAAATACATATCATCGTCCGCCCTTTGATGTGCGTCGACATCACTGCGCTTCAAAGGGTATGCGAGCGCGAATAGAGTATGCGAGCAACAAGAATATTCAGCGGTCGAATATTTTTCACGAAGTAGCACCGAGAGTACATCTGCAAATGGAATGTCTTTTGATGCACTTCTTTTCGCTCTTTTACGTCACCGATATGCACTCACGCCGCTTTGCATTCCGGCGTAAAATCGTATGTAAGAGTAACGTATCGATAAGTACATTCCTTGTTGCTAAGTTGAGCCCTGTGCTACGCAAAGAAGAGAAAAGAAGCAAGTATGAGCAAAACGAACAGAAATGAATAACGCGGTTACGCGAGAAAGTGAATAAAAAGCGAGCAAGACGCGACGGCGATGAAAATGCGACCGTTTCAGTTCAGAGTACCGAGAAGGAAAATACGATTTTCGCGACGTCAATACGACAATTTAATTAACCCTAAAATAAAAAAAATTATTAAATCGAACGACGAAATAGCAAACGATGTAGACACAGCAATAATCGTCATTTTGAATGGACAGGTGCAAGTAAATTAATCAGAAGATAAAAAATGAAGATATCGAAAATTTAGTGCAATCCCAATACATTATAAAGAAGTAAATAAAATATTTAGTTATATTAATATAACACACATCAGTAAAAGTCTCTAAAAAAAAAAGAAAAAAAACAAAGAAAATAGATGCAAAAATAAAATCATCAAATTCATGAAATAATAAAAAAAATGAAAACAGGCAATAGGTCTGCTTTCTGTGGCTGAACTAGAATACACTTTTTGAACTTAATATGACATAAATTATTTACAGTTCTTAAAACGCTTAAAACATCAAAAATTATTAAATTGCTTATCAATTTAAATATGTGATATTACTACTCTAGTTCTGTACATTGTGTTCAAGACCGAAGATTTGCGACGCGCGGTTCGTAGAATTAGATATGTACTATACCTATATAAAATTAAGATCCGCTTTAATCGAAAATAGGTTTATTTCTTTTAATTGATTTAAAGTGAGATGGATATATATTTAACATTTGGCGCAAGCGAGAGAGTTCTAGTGCAGTAATATAGAGCAGGAACAAGAAACAGACCTTATGGTTGAAGTACACTGTTAAATTCATAACGTTCAAATTATACCTAATTTATTTTTAATCATTTCTATGGGTCGCCTCCTTAGGGACAGTATCCTCGTACTGCTCCTACCGAATATGTCGTTTAATTTAATTAAAACAGTAAAATTAAACAATTTAACTCCAGAAGATATATTAAAGATTTAAATTTAGTTCATTATTTAGTAAATGCATATATTAATATGGACGTTTACTTTAAAACTAATCATAGGAATGGATTAATTTACATTTTAACTGCACACGTGCAAGTTGAAAATGACACAAAATGTGATTTAACTCAAGGGCTTGGGTTACCATTGCTCCTTTTATATCCAACAATATATCTCTGCAATATTTCTATGATGTACTATCACATTCGCAAAACATTATAATAGCTATCAGAGTACACGTCTACTAACTATATATAGAGTGTACTTACTAGTTAGCCAGCTTTATATATAGAATTTCCAAATATATTGTATACACTATAAAATATCAAGAATGCAACTATCATGCGGATTATCATTAATATTACTTGACACAATCACGATCTCCTGAAGAAGAAGCTATTGAGTGAACATGATCTTCTTCTATGCATCAATACACCCAGCGAACTCTGACAAAAGGGATGGTGGGAAGTAGAGGGTGATGAAAACTACTAAGTTCATGAAACAATCAGGCAGTCAGGATGACAGCGAACGCAGGCATAACGGCAGTCATCGGCTTGAGGCGAGCAGGAAAGTTAGGGTGGGTGCAAGAGAGAGGGAAGGAGAAATGGACGAGGGTGGGCAGACAGGTAGGCAAGCAGGCAGGCTGGCAGGCAGGAAGGAAGGAATGAATTGCGCCTGCGCGCTGAAACGGCCGGGCTAGACGCGAGAGCCGCCACTCCCGAGCGCGTAGCGGTGTACCGCGGGTGCTGACCGAGTGTCCCCGCGAGAAGAGCGAGAGAGAGTGAGAGGGCGAGAGCGAGAGATAG